CTATTCCGATAGATTGGAAGCATGCTGTTAGAGGAGGTGACTTCCACCGTGGCCCAGATCCGAGTCAAGGAACTGGGCAAGCAACACGCATGGTTGTAAGCAACAACAGCGCAACATCTGTGGCGGACGAAGGCGGGATTTTATACAGAAACCATTACCCCCCCTCATTCTTTTTTCCCTCAGCTCAGATTCCGTCTGGGGGTTGACAGAGATGTGCCGGAGCCCTCTGCCCTCGGGGAACGTCAGCACGCTCGCCGATTGGCTCACCTCCATCGGCCTGCCCATGTACGCCGCGCCGCTGGCGGCGGCCGGGGTCGACACGCTGGGCCGCGTGGCCTCGTTGACGGAGAGCGCCGCGTGGGAGGCGGCGGGCGTGCGGGACGAGCGGCACGCCCGCCGGCTCGTCGGCGAGGCGCGGTCGGTCGGCCCGCGCGACCGCAGAGGCCCGCGGCCCTGAACCCGCTTTTAAAACGACAGGTATCAACTCACTGGTCGCCACCGTCTCGTTCATACGTGGTCAGTAGGTGCACAAAGACTTGCCCCCCCCCGCCCCCCACACGCCCCGCCCATCCACCACAAGAATGGACGGTCACACGGCACTGCGGGTCCTTCCTGTCTCGCATGCGTCACAATACTCCGAGGGAGCCACCCTGCTTCTCTCGTCCGCTCTCTTCTATCACGCTGACTTTTCTCAAATGTTTACGAGTTTTTCCCAACAGCCGAGATGAGAAACCAGATGCCTTTTTTTAGAAGGAAAAGAAGACTGTAGACTCACTGACAAAGTCTTGGATCTGCCTTGAAGGACTCTTAGCACACTCTTTTCGTAGGATGGATGCTTTTTACATACGGAAAGGACGGTTTGCTTCCCGCATATTTCATAAGTGCTTCATCACCGTCTTTTGTGGCAAGGCGACGTTTTTTAAGGAAGCAGCTCGGCCAAAGTGATTTAGTCCTGGTTAAGTGTTTCATTCCCGCTAATGGGTTCATAATGGCGATGACAGAATTCACTTAATATCTGGACTTTTAATCAACTTAATTCATACACCAGACTATGAACAATTGGTTTTGAGATGGCTTATTTTGTATAATGTTTCTGTATTATAGCGTTATGCATATTGTCATTTAAAAATGATTTATATGTCGGGAATTTGTTTGCTTTTGAATGTCGCTGCCTTATTCGGAGAGAGGCCATCTGAGCCATTTCTAAGCTAAAACAGCTGACATGACACCCATATATTTCATATTATACTGTATGTCCTATTTCACTGCATATCTTACATGCACACCCTGTGCTGAAATACACACAAGTCTTGCAGAAAATTCTGTAATAACAATCAGCTTTCACACAAACAATACATTCCCAGTGTATCCAAGCACACTTTTAGTTGCCTTACCATTACGAAAGAATAGCTTAGTCAGATAAAAACGTCATGGGATGAATAAGTGCTAAAGGTGCAAACCTCTTTGTTATGAATGTGTCCAGGAGGTAATTGAGATTTTAAATATTTACACGCTCAGCCAGTTCATTTCACACGGTCTATACTTGTGAAGTTCAGATGATTTAAAAAAAAAAAAAAAAACCAGCCACCAGTGGGAAGCTGCAGACGTCGTCCTGTGTTTTTCCATGCAGAGGGTTGTGGGACAAAAAAAGTTCCAAAAACTGTCAAATCTGGAATGTATATGTTGGTTTGAGGAATTGCTTTTACAGCTGACTGATAAGCTTTTAAAATACATTATACTGTAGTTCTACAATCGATTTCGGTCTGGATTCTTAATTGGACGATTCTGAGGATCGATGAAGAGAAAAGTGTATCAGGTGAAAAGCCGCCCTCCGGGGTTCGCATACAAAATGACACTAAATAGTAAATCAGGGAAACAGTACGTCGGGTCAGACTGTTACTGAAGCCTCGGGCTAAAAACGGAACCGCAAACAGCCAGAAAGTCATTGCTCTCTCTGTCGTGCACCGAAACGGAGCAAATATTAGTGTTTTTTTCCCTCTTATTTCTAACAGTAACGTTTTTTTTAATATTTCATAGTCTGAACTGAGCTCAACTCCACTGTGTTCCCATATAAAAATCTGACCCCCAAGTATTACTAAAATTAGAGGTTGTTTTCTTTTTTGCAGTGGGCACTTGATAGTTAAATGTTTGATGCCTTTTCTCCCTTCAATCAAAAGCGGTGCTCGGAAAAAGCGATGAAATGAGTAAAAGACCCACGAAGACGTTTCGTAAAGAATAGAAATACTGACACTGTAAATGCACTTTAGAGGGTAAATCTAGCTGTTTTATGGGCGGAGTTGGCTACATTTTGTTCACAGGTCCACAAACTGGACATTTGTTGTCAGGTATTGTAAAGAGTTTCAGTGGCTTCTGCTGGTATTTTACTATAGTATTGAGTTCCCAATGCCAAGTTTGATAACCATTCACGGGGTAAACTGTTCCAGTTACTCACTTCCAGTTTGTTTTTGCAGTCTTATAAAAAAATTAAGTATTAATTACATATATAAAATGCTTCGCAAAAGTTGCACATTCTGTATATGTAATTGATGTTTAAATAACTTATTTTTTTTCATATAAATTGTAATTAGCTGTACTATATGAATAGCAATACCTTCCTGCATAATGCACATTGCTTTAGCCAGTGAGGAACTACAGTAAGTATTGTAAAATATGTGTACAAATTATTTTATTTGATTTTCATCCACCTAATGATTGTCCATACAGATTTGCTTGTGTATTGCAACAACAAAAGTAATGTCCATAACTATTTGTCATTCTGAAATATAATAAAAACTGTTTCTTGCCAAACACTGATCATGTGATTTTCACTATAGAGGACACACACAAACGCATGGGTTTACCCTGTTTTCACTCAGGTTAACTGTAGCTGTGGCTAGGTGATGACTTCAGGGTGCAGGTGAGCTTCAGGAATAAAAAGGAATAATGACACCAGATTTTATTAAAACCAGCGGGACAAACTTATTCATAGGTGTAAAAAGAAAGAAGAGAAAGTTATGGTCAAAAGTACAAATGGAAGACAAATCTGTGACCTTATATCTGAATAACAACTCCTGTTGTGAACGTTGTGTTGGAGATTTAAAAACCTTACTCTGCTGTGTCGAGCTTTTTCATCCAAGAATCGCCACATCTGTTCCAGACCCAAGACTGACTGGCTGCCGTTGCTATGCAGCTGTTTTCAATAAACCAAACCCAGCTTTTCCATTCTTCATCATGTCAAGAAGCCCCAAATGGGTATACACACCAGACCGTGGACCCCAGTTTAATAAAAGACCCCATCTGAGATTTTGTTTTGACAATCCGAGCAGGTGTTTGGCCTTCTTGTGAGTGGAAAATGACACAACAGAACAAGTATTTCCTTCAGGAGGAATAAGTACAAAACCAGTTGTCTCTTTCTTGGCTTTGTTAGTCCCCTTTTAAGCAAAGAGTAACTATAATTCACACAGCTGTGATGAGCAGTCTGCTTCCAGTTCACCAATACCTTCCACAGATACAGTTACTCATCGTCTCAGGAGGAAACGACGAGACTGAACAACTTTCCTCTGTAGAGTTTACGCACGGCTGCATCTGTCTATGGGGACTCCACCAGGTCCTGTTGCGGGATCGCAGTATTTCACAGAAAAGATATTGTTTTTGTTAAATGAACGTTCCTTTATTGATTTCAAGAAGCAAAATCAGTTTTTTTTTTTTTCCACTGGATGGTAGCCATCGCTCGCCATGACGATGGAAGCCATCGCTCGCCATGACGATGGATGGATGGATGGATAGTGAGAGGAAAGTGAAAATAGGCAAGGTGTTCCCAACGATTCCTCACCAGCAAACCGTAATGTCATATAGATCCTTGTGGTAAAATCTTCTTGTTTGTAGTCTGTATACGTTGGCGTTGGACAGCAGAATTTGCTCCTCCTAGTTTTATTCCCCTTTCCCAGAATCCCATTTTATTTTCCAAACATGTATTACAATAAGACTTAAGTATTGCACATCAAATTTAAGTATTTACAGTTCACCTGATGTTTGTGTCGTTCAGTGGAATAAAGGTATTGAATGTCTAATATGGGCTTATTACATTTTGAACATTCCTTTTGTGGGTTTTTCCTCAAGCATCTTTTTCCGTTTTCCAAAGAAAATGTAAAACACCACCAGAGAGCATTTCTATCAAATCCCACAGCCAGTTGTTGTAATTAAAGCAAACAGAAGTGACCATACTCTTGTTCTGTAATAAATTGCTCTTCTAGCAGGAGAGATTGGCCTATAAACCCATTACACATTAACCCTTATTGTGCCTAGTTTGCAAAACACACTAACGCACTATTCATAATAAATGTACCTGTACTTTATTACCTTTTATCTTTCATTGCCCCCTGCAGCAGACACCATGTGAGAAGCACCCGAGCCGCTGGTGGAGGTAGTTGTCGTGCTGAACGCCTGCAGGTGCAGTCTAATGGAGGGTTATAGGCCCCTGCAGAGGAAAGATATACGGCTCCGTGTGAAGTCCTTACAGCCGGCCTCGGGGGGGAAGAGAAAGTTTAATGCACACCCAACTTGTGCATGAGAAGCGAAGCAACTCACCTTGCACATCTTCACCCTATGATTAATAACCACGTTACACCGCTACACTTGGATCTTTTTATGGTTATTTTATCTGATTGAAAAAATTAAAACGAGAGGCTTTTCTATCTTTACTGCCAAGATAAAATCACGTCTCTCATTCCTGCTGCAATGTGACGCGTGCACACCGGGGTCGCTGTTTTACGCGCCGCGATCCGAACCAAACGGTGCGTTGTGACTGGAGGTTTTTCCTCTCTGAGTAATCTGACACCCAAAAGGACTGGCAGCAGAAGGATGGACCCGCAACTCCGCTGAGAAGGACAGAAGGAAGGGACGCTCATCCAAAACGAGAAGGGCCGAGCAACAGCGAAACGTTGCGCCCAAAAAAACCCACAACAACAACACCACCACCACCACCACCAACAACAACAACAACCCCGTGGCTGCGGCAGTGGAGGAGAGCCGAGTGGCCGCGCGCGCGTCTCCAAACTGGGCGTCCGCCTCAAGTAGTCTCAAAGCGACAACTTTCACTTTCCACATGCGGATGGGCGACTTTCCGCGGCGCTTCGCGAGGAGGAGATGATGGTGATGATGAAGAAGAATTCCAGCAGCGGTCCTCTCCACAGCAGCAACCAGCCCCCCAACCACGTCCGAGAGCGAAACAACCGAAAGTACAGCTTGCTTTCCGCCGTCGTGCCGCTGCGGGTTTCCTTGCGAGGGTACGGGTTCTGCATGGCCGCGCTGTTTCTCTTCTCTTTCGGCTCCCTTTTTTACCAGCTGAACGGAGGACCGCCGAAAATCCTGCTGGACATCCGACAGTATCTCGGTAAGAACTTTTTTGTTGTTGTTCTTTTTTGTTCTTGTTCTTCTTCTTCTGCTGGCTGAAGCGCGTCATCGTCAGAAGAGATTCTTTCTGTGCAGAAGTGCAGAAGAGAGCAGCCTGGGAGCGCTACTTTGATCCGGCGCGTACAGGAAAGTGTATCCAACATGACACGATACGTTTTGGGGGCTTTTCCACCCCTCGGTTCCCCGCTGGGCAACACATCTCTTTCATGAAATCCGTGCACGGCGGCAGTCGTCTCCGTGACCTCTCATTCAAACCATTTAAAAGCACCAAAGAGGGGTGGGGAGGGGAGGAGGTGGGGGGTATTTGTGAACTTTCCTGCAGACTAATGCAGTGTGCACAAGTATATTTTTTAAATCGTACATATTCCCTTAGTGCCAAAGTCCCCCCCCTCGCCTCTCTACCAAGTTCCTCTACCAAGAGGTGTGCTTTACCTGGAGGATGATTGACACCTCTTCTTGTTCAGCCAGATGACGCGCACGGCGCATTACGCACGGCTGGCACCGGCGAGGCCGATAGCGTTTCATTCAGCCGTTGTTTCATTATGTTCCTGGTTCCGAATATTCTGCCTGCCGAGGGGAACCACGTGTACAAATCTGTTTTGGGGGTTCGACTCGTCACTGATGTGTCACTGTCAGTACATGTCAGCGTGATCACTTGAATAAACCTTCTGGAATAAAGAGCCGCACGCGTGTGGTCGTCACAGTTTGAACCTGTACCTCCAGTCAACAAATGGAGGTTTGTGCCTCGTGAAGTCGTCGTTCTGCTGTCTTACAACCAGCTGATGGTCCACAGGGGGGATTTATCATCAACCAGCCAGTCGCTGCTGCAGCTGTGTGTGTTCCCGTGCAGAAAGGAGGTTGTGTCCTTACCTATTTTCACAGAGGGCCCCGAGGCCTTTATGAGGTGATAAACATCTGGAACGGAATGAGAGTCACTCACCACGTCAGCCGCTACTCCCGTGGGTCAGATGTGTTTCATGACACAAACACAACGCTGCCTGGTTGGTGTTTAAAACCATGAAACGCAGACAACATCGACTCTTTGTCAAGGACAAGACCACGTTAAACGGCACTTTAATACTTTCATTTAAAATGCAGCTGGATTAGAAATTGCAGGAGCGGATGCAGGTCGCTGTGATTCCTCTTCCAGTTGTTTCGCTGAGGAGCACTCGAACTTTGTCTCGTCACACAAGTGCAGACGCACGCACACAGCAACAACGAATGCATCAGCTGAATGTCAAGGCCTTCTCATACAGGAAGGAAGCAGGGGTGCGTACTACTTAATAGTGTAATCATCATAGTTTTACTGGCGATGCTCTTTTCATAGTAACAAGTCCCTAAATCAATCAATGGTGAATCATATTCATGGGTATTATAGTGTACTCACGGTATTGTATTGAATTCTGGTATTGTATCGGACGTATCGGGTATCATGATACTTATATATATCATGATACTTCCTTGTATGTTTGACATATTTTGGCTAATAAATGTTTCCTGATTATCGGCAGGTATCGCGTTGAAATCCTAATTGTGTTATTGTGACAAAGCGGGGTGAAGCCGCAGCAACGAGGTATCCTCGCAGCATTAGGAAAGGATCCGTGGAGTCCGACCGGGCCGAAGCTTTTACAGCATCAGTGGAGTTCAGTTCTGATTAAAGCAAGAGCGCATCAAGTCAACATAACTCATGTTGCACTTTGAAAGAATCGAGTGTTTTACTTTTGATTGATTCATTTCGTTCAGTTTTTATGTAAAACTAATGCCAAACGTTCTTTTCTTTACATTTTTTAAACTTCTTTATTTAATAAAAAGAAAGGAGTTATGCTTGACTCCTCCCCTTTTCTTTGCCGATCCCAAAAAACAATCCGAACCCTGAGGTTTGTGATCCGTTACAGCACCACAGCCCCAGCAATCAGACACACCAACACAAATGGCCTCTCATAATCATAATCCACCACGTGGAGCATGAGGGAAACAAGCCCCCTCCCCCCCCCCCCCAGAGGGTGAACGTGTGTCTGAGCCCACCTGCATGACGTGATCTTCATGCTGGAGGACCTGAGCCTTGTCAAACACACTGACTCCTCTATACTGTATTGACTCCACGAGGGTGAGGGGGGTGGGGGGGGGGTTCTTATGTAACAGTGACACGAAGCCACTGTAGCACCAGTCTGGGTGAGTCTCAATCCCTGCATGGGTGAGAAGAAAGAGCTTTGTTCCAGTGTTGGATGGATGCGAGTTGAAATATGTGACACGCTGTTAAAAGTAATTGCTGAGTTATATTTTAGCAATTACGTAATACAATTTTTCCGTTTTTCAAGATGGTTTTACTGGGTTTTTGCGGTGGGTACTCAAACGGTCGGCTGTTGGGTGGGAGAAGGGAACCAGAGGAAATTTGTAGATGGTGGAGAATATGGCAGAAAGGAGGGAAGGCGGAGGGCCTGCAATTATTCCCATGATCGGGACCCAAAACGGCAACGGTTATTTTGGCCTTAAAGTTCCGCAGTTCTCCCCCTCACCCACGTCCATCACACAACCTCTGTGTCCCTCACAGTATTCAACCTACTTCTTGTGTGTGGAACTGAAGGCAAACTCCAGCAGTTGGGGAAACTCCTTCTGGAGAGGATATCCACCATTAATAACCCTCCAATGTATGGATACGGTTTCTGTGTGAGGGGCGGGCTGGCAGCATCTAATAAGCATCCAGTGATTTGGTGATTTATGTACCTTAAGGTGACCTGTGTTAGATGAAGGTGAGGATTCCTGGGGTGAAGGCACGTGGGGGTGCATAGGTGAAGAGAATAGTAGGGTGATTTTGTGCCGGTGTGCGTAAGGCGAGTGTGAGTTTCTCTTCCTCGGACGAACTGTGGAGGGAACAGACCCTTTTTTGTTTGGTCCACCGGTGAGGAGGTCGGCGTTTGAGGGTGTCACGCAAACGTGTGCCGCTTTAGGTCAACAGGCTGTCTCTCTCACGCACATATGCATACTTCTACTACCTGGACCAATCCATGCTATGAGCTGTGTCTCTGTGGGTGAATGCACAATCACACCTGCCTGTGATTCCAATTGATGTTGAACTCGTCTCCGACAGAAACCCGATAGTCGATAATGATTTTCACAAAGGTGCAACGCTTGTTTCTCTGCCGTGGGCCGACTTGACCGCTCATAGTTTACTAATGGGAGGAGAAACGCATGAATTAAGAGCAGTTTAGGAATATTTCTGTCTCCATTTCGGGTTAGACATTCAAACATATAACGGAAAAAGGAAAAGACCGTGGCAGAGTTATAAAGCCATAGTGTTTGACATTCTCTCTATTCACTCGCAACGTGAAGGATCTCCATAGCGGCGTTTCCAATACGAGTTGAGGCCTTATTGTAAGAAAGGGGAATGTGAACGTGCGGATGGGAAAATGACTGAAATTACCCGCTCTTTGGAGATAAAAGAAAGCAAAACAGACAGAAGGATCTTTCTCTTTTCCCTCAAATCTTCAAGTTATTAAGATGGATCCTTCCGGATTAGCGAGCATAAATTCCACCGAACCCTCTCATGTGAACAAATCTAACATCCTTTTCACAAAGTACACTGGTCTTCTGCCTGATTTGTTTGTGTTGTCACAGTTCCCCGTCCCTCCGCCATGAATGATAAACACTGACCATCGCCGCTTGAAAACGGAACCCTGTAACCTCAAAGCACACACTCGCACACATTCATGTGACTCGCCAGAACCCGGCGAGCAAAGTGGTGGAGGTGTAGACTGCAGGTCGGCGTTGGGGATTAGACAGGCATGCGTGGACACAGAAGAAGCTTGAGGAGATCTGGTCCCCCCACCCCCCCCTGCAGTTTCTGTCCAATTAAAAGCAATGTTGGCCGGGAGGTGGTGAGAGCAAACTGTTTAAGTGACTAAAGTTTTGTTTGGCGGTTGACCACTCGGTAGAAGTAGTGCTACCAAATAAACTCTAAATGTATATAAAGAATAAGAGGGAGGAGAGAGGGGGGAGGGGGGGGAGTGAAAAGGTCGCCAAGAAACCTTCAGCTCCGCGTGGATAAAACAAACACCGGCCGCCCTCACTAATGCTGTACATGACTTCTGACCGGCGCGCACACAAACACACAGTGCGCGTGTGTGTGTGTGTGTGTTGCTAATTGCACGTGACGTGCGTTTGATTTTAACCTCACCGACGCGACCAGAGCTGCTGTTTGGGACCAATGACGGCGTTAACGCGAATGAAACCATGTGACCTACGAGTCACGGAAACTCCGAAACTGCAATTCAAACTAAATAAATGTTTGTTATCATGGAAAATGTAGTTATTGAACAACTTGTTTACAGGAAATGCCAGAGGAAACTCGCCTGTTATAATGTACGCGAGGTTGTTAAGTACCATTCTCCCCACTGCTGTGATCTCGCCATTAAAGGGTCATTTGGTGTTTATTTATTTTTCATGTGTTCTTATCCCTGCTTTCTAAATCTTATAATAACAAGTTCAGCCTGTCGGTGACGACAACAAGCACTTTTAGTAGCCGTCCATCGAAAGTGAGGAGTCGCAACCAGCGATTATTCTCTCTTAATACTGGACCAATTTCACAAATACAGAACAAAAAAACAAACATTGGGAAACAGAGTCCAGGTTTGGAAAATACTTGACTTTAATGGCAAGATCACAATAGTAATCATGAGGGGAGACGGGCACTTATTCACTTGTTCCACGATCCTTTGCTTTAATGCCGTTAAAACAGACAAATATTTAGTCATATACTGTACATATCTTTCACGTGTGCGAGTAGACGTGGATACTTCAAAGTGAGGAAACTGCCACACAAACGACACGGATCCAAAGAGCTCTGTTGAGCGAGCCAGACGTGTAAGTGTGATGTTTGGAGCGACCTCGCCACTGCATTCGCACCAGCGTGCCCGCTTCCTGTTGGAGGATATTAAAAAAACAAAACATCAACGTCATATTTTGTTCTTTAAACTGACAGTG